CACAAATTATACATGGTAAAGAGGTGATGTGGGTGTGTCATCGGTCGAATAAAGATCAGATAAAAAAAAAAAAAAATTCCTTCTTCCACTAATATCTCTCCACTAATTATAGCATCCCTCTGGCACGTTCCCTCCTACTCTCCTTGTGGATAAGAATAAATAAACGTGTGTGTTTGTGTTTATTAACATAAATTAGCCGATTATCAATTTGGTGATACCCTTAGTAGTTCTTGTAAGATTTATTTATGTATGAGATAAAATAAATGAAGAGAATTGTCTGTCTTTAAAAAGATGGTAATAGGGTCTCACCGAGAGTGGAGGTCATGCACATTCGGCGACAATCCGGTGTGTGCAACATTTGCGAAACGCAACATGTTACACGGAAAACATACTATCCCCCGATTGTACACACGCACATATTTTATAAAACGCGATCGTCACAATTGTTAATGAATTTTTTGACAACCGTGAAGTACGCGGGTAACATCTCTGTACCCCTGAACGCGAATCATGTGCAATGCTGCCTAAATTATCATCCGGGTAAATCGTAACAACTTTGACGTGATAAAGTGTGTGTGGTGCTTATTACGTATTTTTACATACTGTATATGATATGATGCCCGAGATGTTGAAGAACGTTCGGGATGTCCGAGAAAGTGTCCGGGATACCAAAGAAAGAAAATGATGCGGAGCGGTTGACCGAACGAACGAATTTTAACCTTGCCACTTTCTCACTTCCGCGAGGGTGCAAAACGATCAATCACCAATATACCCACTCACTACCATCACCGATACCACCACCACCACCACCGTTCGTTGACGTATTCACATTCACCATTATCAATTATGCGATGATAATTGGTGGGGAATGATAATGACCATTTCTTGAAAAAGCAATTTGCGGGCTGTGCGGACAAAAAAAAAAAAATGTAATTTGATCAGCTGCCTTGCAGTAATTTAAAACAGGATCACAAACGAGTTCTTCGGATACATTGGATTGGATTGACAAACACTGTAAATGCTAGGCTAGTTATTTTTAAATTTCATTTAAACACTCAACTCGTCATCCGGATTCGAACCTCACGCCTCACACCAAATATGTTTACCCTGAAAAAAAATAAAAATACCCCGGTGCTCCCCGTACTTTTTATGTTCGGTTTCAGAATTTAATCCTTGTTGTATATTGTACAAATCTTGTTTACCAACTCGTCCACAAAGAAAAAAAAAAAAAAAAGAAACAGGTTTCCTTCAATCTCGTCTTTCGAAAAAGCATATGACACTGTGACCTTAAAAAGTTGATGATCGCTCACATTGGACCAGTCCTCATTCGGTCAATTATCTAACACATCTAATATTTCATTCGACCAATAACCGAGAACCGACGTTTAAATATAGACTCATTCAGTATTCCCATTATAGGCCTTGGTGACACATTGTTCGCCGCGAGTCGTAAGCGACTTTTTATCAGAATGCTCACACCACCGAACCTTAACTCTAGCATTAATAGTAAATCGTTTGCACCAATTCCACTCTTTGTTCGAATTTTTCGGTCACTTGTCTGCAGCGTTGCATGTTTCGATCGAACGTTGCTTTTCTTCTCTTTTCTTTTCTTTTTTTTTTTTTAGAAAAGAGAACGTATCACCATCATCATTTGGGAAATTGCGAGCTGCGCTCATTAAATTTTCCTTCATTTCCTTAATAACCTGCACGGGCTCCTCTCGACTTCCATGTTTCATCATGCCACTTTTCGATAACAGAGGAGAAAATTTCTGCATGATTTGAAATTTTAATTTTACCGTGATTTATTTGAAGAACCGAGAAATTGGAATGATCTCCCAGATTATACAACAAATCAACGACCGAATGTATGAACTTTTATTATCGGGAGGCGCCTTGCATTCCCTTCTTATACATTCTTGCACATGAATGACGAGAAAACCTTAAACTTTTTTCTTTCTTTCTCTCTTTCTCCGCCCGAATTCTCCCATCCATTCCCCTTCAAACGATCGACGCTCCCCCTGCCATTCAACCCATCCATCCTTAAGAAAAAAAAAAAAAAAAAGAAAAGAAAAACACGGAGATAAAAATTATCCATTATGTGTATGTATGTACTGTATGTAAATGTGATTTGTGATCTATTATAATTGTCAATGGCCACACCAAATACATCATTTAAATCTCGCTGCCTACATTCACCTTGCGCGTGGCCAAAGCGTGTACCCCCTTCGACATTTTTTAATTACGGTGATTCCTGCCTACCTGACTGCCCGACCGCCTGACCGCCGCACGATCCCAACCATCCCATTAATTAGAAAAGACACTGCATACTCGGGAATGTCTCGTGTCAATCCAACAGCGCAGTGGTCGTGTACAGTACAGCGTGCAGTGTGTCCTCATTTATCAAATGGTCGATCAAATCTTTGACGCCTCTTCTTTCTTCTTTCCTTTTTTTTTTTTTTCGCATCCTCTCGTTTTCCCAGTTGAACACAAATTTCCTCTGGGAGAAATTGATCGAGAGCGTGTCAAGGTATTGCGCGCGGTTGGTCCTGATGCGCGGGTGCTCTCTTCTTTGAGAAACGTTGGGATGGATGGTTTTCAAGGCAAAGTCGTCACGAGGCTAATCGCGCAATTCTTCTTTTGAAGACATGGTGATGAAGCGAACGGACATTTCGGGGTTTATACGGTTCCAACGGTGAACCAGTTGATAGTCGGAGGGCTAATCCCTTTCCGTCCAGAAAGAGCCGGATGATGCATAAGGAATGCATGATATCGAAAAGAAAATATTACCATATCTATACTGTACGTATACAGTAACACCGTACATACTGTATGCGACATACTGTATATACATGGATAACCCTTTAAAAGTATTTATGGTGCTGTGGGGGTGGAATGAACGAAGTGAACGAAGATACTTACCATATATATGTTGAAGACGAAATGGTATGAAGATATTAATCCCACAACAAGTACAATGCATGATACCCTTACATTGAACTTGCAGATGGGTTTTTTATTTTTATGGAAATGCACACCGTAATCTGTATCATTAGTGATCAAACTCATTTATTTATTACGAATCCCCCCCCGGAGAATATCCATGCCAATTGTGATAAAAACCTTTTCCAAAGTGACCAAACCGAGGAAGGCTAAGAAAGAAGGCTCGCCATATCCACACACCTTTCTTTTTTTTTTTTTTCGATTCCCTGGTATAACGGATGTCTGGTAATTAATTATCCAATGCGGAGTGTTTGTACCGTCAAACCTGTCAATGAATGATGACGCACGACGGTGTTTAAGCGCACGTCCACGATTCGATGCCCCCATAGTCGCCCGTGCCGAAACATTCGTTTCTTTTCCTCTCGTCGGCTGCCGACCGTCTGGACCTGCGCAAAATGGTGAAGAGGGTAATATGTAATATATGTAATTCGCACGTTTTCTCGTCAAATAAATTGCCGGTTTATGATCATTAATTTATTGACAGGTGCATAAATTAATCTGTTTGTATGTCAAGATTAATATAATTAATGTAATGTATTGTTACGTACTGTACATACGATACGCACTGTACGTACTTATGTATGTATCCGCTATATTATGAACTCGTTTGACGGTTTTTTTTGGTAACCGGTTGGTGTAAAGGATGTTTTGTCATGAATGTGATGTCTTGCGTCTCCCATAAAACCTTTTCGCCTCTACCCCTCCTAACTTCTTCAATCGAGGCGTACCCAAGGGATCCCAAATCGGCAAGTTGTTCTAACTCCGAAAAAGCTCTCTTCAATCAGGTCATTTGATTCGCACCATCTTTTCAAGGTTAGCTACGAATTGGTGACATGACGCACCTCGATGTACAGGATATATGCCATGATATCATTGCCTACAGTGCTGGATTACACAATTTCATTATGCGCACGCACATCCACGCACCTTGTCACCACGTTTTGCTCGCCATCTTGTCACTCGGGCAATTCCTGTCACCACCTCAATCATTATCATTGTGTTATTATAGTACGTAATAAATTAATCGTCTATTGAGTTTTTAAAATATTGTGAGCACGCTGCATTGGTAATCAGGTTGACGCTAACAATTTAGCTGTTCAACAAGGCGGAGACAATCGTCAAGAGGATATGACGAACAATCCAACAAGATTGTAAACAATATATCATCCCTCTCGTGTACAGATTTGTTGACTTTAATTTTTGTGAACGTTTTTCATTGAACTATTACCCGCTTTTGTATAAGAATGAATATTAAAAAAAAAAAAAAAAATGTGACCAATATTACAGGTCAAAAAGTAATTCGGCCTTGACTGACACATTTGCTATTGCATTAATCTTTGGCCCTTAATCGTCTTCGAACAAATCACGTTTTGCCGGTCAGTAGAAATAAGCTTTCCTCGAGGGTTCATTCGTCCCCGCGCCATCACCCAAACTTTATCCTACCCATCTCACCCCCCGTAGCATCCTCTTCAGTTTGTGCACGTGATAAAGAAAATGGCATTTATCCATGGTGTTATTGTCTCGTGTCATCCTGGGGTTTTTTTTTCTTTCTTTTTTCTTTTTATCCCTTTTTTCCCACAGATCACCTTGCTAGGAATTCGACCGCGAAGTCCGTGCTCAATGGGTGTCTAGGTTGTGTCAACAAGGGAAGGTCCTTCTTCAAAGAGTTTTCCTACACATGATCCCACTCCGAATTCACCGTGCGACGGTCTTACACGTGTGGGCGGTTGCATTCTAGTTTAACTCTTGAATGTGCGAATCCAATTCCACCCAAGTAGAGTGTGGGGAATCGGTCCAGTCGAACATTGATATCATTGTCGATTTCGGCTTTCCTTTTTTTGACTTGCAATTTTCCCTCGAATCACCCTTAAAGACCGATTTATAAAGCTACTGGCCTTCAACTTTTTTTCCATATTCGGACCCTTGGGAAGAAACCTCACGGGTGTAATGACCTCTTCGAAAAAGTGCACAATTTTTACCCGTTTCCGATCAAATTTGGTAAAAAAAAAAAAAAAGGAAGTGACGCAACGCATTCTTCTTGGGAATCATCGGTCATCGTGTGTGTTGATTTTTCAATCGCACGAAACACTTGTCACCACCAGACATTTAAAGAGCTCCCGTGTACGAATCGTATTCCCGTCGAGTGCACACCGACAAAATTTCCACGCACGCATGCCGGTTATTAGTAACAAACTAACTGCTGCTTGATTATTATTAGACCGTTTTGTTTGGGATTAAGGACATTTTGCTGCTGCTGCTTGCTGATGAATTTTTGCCGAACAAAGTTTGTTGATTGCCGTTAATTGGATGCGCCCATAATTGATTCCGACCAAAATGCGTCAGTGAGAGGAAAGGAGGAGAAAGAAATTGGGATGTGCGACACGGTAATTTTGTTGTGCATACTTGGGTTTATTATGTGCTGTGCGTATGTACGAATCCCTCTGTCACCTTCTCGAATTGATGATTTACTTACTCCCTGTATGTACACATCTTGTATAATTTACTTTTTGAAATTTGCGGCAGGGTCTTTCCATAATAATTTAACAAATCCAACTTTGAGCATGGATGATGTACTTGGCATATGAATCATTCAATTCATCTATTATCACCGATGACATTCGGAAATCTTTTATTATTATTATTCTTCTTCTTCTTTATTCTCAGCGTCCATAAATGTAATGGGCAAAACGTAAAGACGATCTTGCATTACCCAGATATACATCGTTTGGCTGCAATGTATGTAACTGTTTATAAACTGGCATGGGCTAAAAAAACTCGTTTCTCAACAAAAAAAGATTACACAATTGGCATAAGTAATGGCATACACTCACATCTTACCATCGAGAAAAAAAAAATCAATCATTTTTTTTTTTTTTTTTTTAGTACAATGGGGTATTCTTCGACTCTCCCGATGTTCCTTTTTTCCCCTTCCCATCCTTCTAAACTTTTATTACAATCTTCTTTATGTACATAAGCCAATGTTCCAACAAGAGATGAGCTAGTACGAATTTATCCACAATCCACTGCAATTCCTTGAATCCTCCTATATTTAATTTCATTCACCGGGACGTTCCTCAACGTCTTGGTATTAGTCGCAAGGCACACGAATACCCTTTTGGCACACCCATGTGACCATGTGACAAGCCGCCGCCGGCGTTATCCACCACGCCGTCATCATCATCATCATCTGTCTGTCGCCGTCGTCGACCGCTTCACATTTTGAACAATGACGAACTTCACGAGCATTCGCTACACGGAAAAACGGGATCGACCTTTGAGAATAGAGTTTGGGCAGCTTTTTTTTTTTTCCTTTTTCCCCTCTTGGAGTTAAAACTCATCACCACGAACGAATAGACTTCGCTCAATATAAACGGAACGATGAGGTGTCGAATCTCGAACAATATATCCCGATTCGTCATTGTTTGCCCGTTTTATTGGAAAGGAAAAAAAAAAAAAAAACAAACAAAGAAAGAGAAAAAATCGTTCGTTCAGAAGTCCGCATATAGACGATAGGGAGACTACCCTTCAACATTTGTAACGCCTATCGACCAAATCAACACCGTCTTCTTCATCATTCCTCGTCGCAACCTCTCTTACTATTTATTTTAGATATTGTTTCTTCTTCCTTTTTTTTTTTTTTTTTTTTTTTTTTTCTGTGCACACATATACTATGAGTGTGTATGATTTTTTAATTTAGGGCCGGATACTCGTGCCTTCTGGACGTTTTTGTTCGTTCTAAAAAATTATTCATAGTGTGTATGCTATTTCGGGTAGGGTTGATGCACAAAAAAAAAAATTTTTTTTTTTTATAAATGTGATGAACACAGTAGTGTAGTATAGTGTACATCACTACTACACTTATTATATATTTTTGTATATCATATTATGTATGTTATTTACTTTATGTACATACATATATTTCTCAATAGATGTGCAATTGCTAAAGATGTTCAATAAATATTTAGAGTGATGTTGAAGTACCTTCTACTTTCATGCAGAACTTGTACGAAACCGGACGTTCCTATTTATAATAATGTATCTGTGACGACTTTTAATTACTTTCAACAACAATCTACCATACATATTATCACATATTATGAATTTACTTGCATCGTCAAGTGGTTGCCTCTTACTTTTATTTATTTATCTTTTTATTATTCTCGATTCTCCGCCGAGAAGAGAGGACTTGTCTGCCACATCACGTACGAAACAGGACATCGGATGCTTTTTTTTTTTTTTGTTCGCTAAAGAAAAAAAAAAAAAAAAAAAAAATTTTTTTGATGTGAAGTTAACTTACGAGGGGACTTTTCCTTCATCTCTGATCAATCGTGTGATAAAATTAAAATAACATCAAAAATTTTAGTTTAGGATAAATAAATTTACGACTTTCACGAATATGCAATATACACTGGTACTTTAAAAAAACTCAGATTAGATACTGGTGAACAGGAACTGACCGTAAAAGGTCAAATGATTTTTTTTTTTTTTGAATATTGTGTTTGTGTAGCTCGTTTTTTCCCTTACACATTATTTACCCAACTCTAGTCCATTATTTTACAGTAGTGTTTCGAGTTACAATTGACCTTGGTAACTTGTCTGGCACCAATTGAATTTGAATTTGTTTTACAAAAGAAATGTCAGCTATCCTATTATTATTATTATTATTATTATTATTATTATTTATTATTATTATTATTATTATTATTATTTCTTCTATCGTGAAATCGTTTGGTTAGTTTTGTTATTATTAATATATTTATTACTCTTTTACTATTAGCAATTTCTTTCTTTCCTTTTTTTTTTTTTTTTTTCTCTTGCTTACTGTATTTCCTAATTTACTTATTTATGTATGTAAAGTAAAAAAAAATTCCTCCACTCGCTAGTAAGTAGGTAGATAGTCACCACACCTTTTGTCACGTCCGTCACAACCCCCTCGTCGATATAAACAAACCTTTCTTCCATCCACCCTTTATTTTCTCTGGCTTACTTACCTTATACATATTGTACAGATTACGGGTGAATATCTTTTTTATTTTTCTCTTGACGCACACAAACATATATATATATTGTTCATGTCCTTCAAGCCGTCTTGAATTCGAATCGAAAAAAAAAATTTTTATAAAAAAAAATTATAAAAGCGCTGGCAACGTATTATTTTATTGTCCGCCGAAAGGAAAAAAAAAGTTTGAGAGAGAGAGAGAGAGAGAAAAATATATGATTTAATCTTTAATTGCTGCCTTTGACAAAGCTGCATCTGAATCCTATCATAATAATCTTTTTTGTTTTTTTTTATTTTTCTTTTCTTCCTTTGTACATTTCCCTCCCCTCTGACTTCAAAATCATCCATCATCACAATCATAGAGCCCCATCAATAGACTCAAAGTCATTAATAGAAACACATCACAAAGAATTGCTCTTGAAAAATAAAGTTTCACTATTTCTGCAAAATCAAAATAGACAAGCAATTTTTCGAACATTTTTTTTTCTTCTTCTTCCATCGTTCAGAAACTTCACACGCCGATTGAACCACCGAAATATCACAACCACCACTTAATTTATTTCAATCTCCACCTTGAACATTCCTTCACCTCGGCTACCTCCTTCAGCCATCAATAAAACAAAGGGACAATAACAACAAGAAGCAATAAATCCCAGTCAAGAGGGAAAAAAAAAAAAAAAAAATTTTTTTTCTTTTTTTTTGTTTTAGGTAACACATTCCAGATTTTTTTTTTATTATTCCTATTGGAACAGCCGACTTCTGACTGGTCCGACCAGCTCCATTTTCGGTACGTAATTGCTCTTATCATCTGCATTTGGTTTAGGCTCCTATTGAATTTTGCACTACGACAATCCTCGTTACATATACATTTATTTAAAAAAAATTAAGAGAACTTCTCTCAAACACATTATCTCCACATTCCTTTCTTCTTCCACTTTCTCGGTTTCTTTCTTTCTTTCTTTCTATTATTTCCTCTTCGCCATTCGTTTGCGATAAATAAAAATTGCTGCCTTAGTCATTCGTTTCTCTTTTTTCCTCCAATCGACAACAATCGTTTTCTTTTTCTTTTCTTTTTTCTTTTTTTTTTTTTTGTTTGTTCGACATTCTCTCCTCACTCACTCGCAGTCAGTCCGTCTCACCAAAGTTATCTTTCTTTCTTTCTTTCTTTTTTTATTTATTTATTTATTTATTTATTAGTACTATTATTATTTTCTGTTCGATTGTTTCTGTACTCAATAACATTATTTCTTATTACAGGAGTATTTAGGTTATTCGAAGGAAACACACCTCGGACCACCTATTATCCCCATATCAAATAAACTGTATACCCCTTATTATAATCCCTTCTTCCCGTATATAGAATTTTTTTTCCTTAAACTCCGACCAATCCTATTTCGTCAAAATTTCTCACGCCACATCTCAAATCCATACCTACTACGACCTCACATCTACTGACCGTCCAATTCCAGCAACAAAACAAAATTCTTACTTCTTGCCGGTTGGTTATTTGAAAATATAAAACTCTTACAAAACAGATTGGCGGTACATACAGACGCTTACATATAGACATTATCGCGACAAACTTTTCATTTATGGCTGGTTTGCAGAGTTCAAATAAGCATTTTACCGATTCATCTAACACCAATCCTGCATTAACAACTGCCAGCACTCATTACCCGCAACCTCCACGACACCCAACAACGCCGACCTCTCCGGCTCCTCCACTCTCCAACACCACGACGCCTCTAAAGAGCTCTCCCGAAACCCCACGAAGCAACAAAGGTAATAACAACACCTCACCTTCCAACCCCACCACGACGACAAACACAAGCACCAACTCCTCCAGCAACCCAACTTCTCCAGCTGGTCCACGTTCATTAACCTCGACGGCGACTCAGACCACTCCACAACCGCACTCGGCTTTTTCTCCATACAATCAGGTTCCACCGCACCCCACACCTGTGACCACTCCCACCTCAACAAAGAACTCAATCTCACAACCGGAGCCCCCAACAATGATGACTACCTCTCACTTGGACAACAGTGGTAGCACCACCTTGATTTACCCACCACAACACACACACTTCAACCCCACCACGACTCCCTTCTGGCCCTCGTGGAACTTCAACAACGGTAGCCCCGCTAACGGCGCCGCCGTCCTATCAGCCACTGGCGGCAGTGCATTCGTGCCCGCCGTTGGATACGGTGCCGGCTCGAACATGGCGCCCGGTCACAATCCTCGACCGAAGCTCACCACCACCATATGGGAGGACGAGGGAACGCTATGCTATCAGGTTGACGCCAGGGGCATTTGCGTGGCTCGAAGGCAAGGTGACTATACTGGTCATGCAGCAATTTTATGCTTGCGTGTTAATGTCATCACCACTTGATTAGCGTGATCTTGATCACGGAGAGAAATCACGCGTCAACTTACGTTTTAACCTTCGTTTCCACACTTTTTTTTTTCTCTCTCTCTCTTCCCGCATCAGACAATAACATGATCAACGGGACAAAGTTGTTGAATGTCGTAGGAATGTCGCGCGGAAAGCGAGACGGTATCCTCAAGAATGAGAAGGGAAGGGTTGTCGTAAAAGTGGGCGCCATGCACCTCAAAGGTGTTTGGTAAGTAACCCGCGGTGGATTTAATTTGTTATCGTTATTTCATTTTATTTAAAAAAAAGAAAAACTTTTTTTTTTTTACACTTTGGCACTCACCACAATTTCCGTTCTCCCAGGATCACCTTTGCGCGAGCAAAGACTTTGGCCACCCAATTCAAGATCAGCGAACTGGTAGGGCGATCGAATTTCAATTTATTTCGCGACGATGGCGAAACATACATGTGATAACCGTTAATTGACGATTCCTGATTTTTGTGCGTGCAGCTCTATCCATTGTTCGTGGATGATCCCAGCGTCTTCCTTCACAATTCGTACGGACAATCGATGACGAGGATTCCGGCATTGAACAACGGCTCGGCATCACAATGGAGACCAACTCATCCCTACGCCAACAATTTCAATAGCACCTCATACACGCCTGAAACGACGCGTCAATGGTATCCATACGGTAACGGCAATCCCCTGATGGGATCTCCGAACGGCCCGCACGGTCAAGAACACAGCTCTGTTCCTTTTCCACCGGCGACGGCGTACGGAGAACGCCCACAGAATGTTGCCAACCCACCGGCCGTACCCATGTACCAGCCACCCCGAAATCACGGTCATCCGCAAGCGCATCTGGAAGAATACGAACAAGGCTACGGCCTGATAAATGGACAATCCCAGGGACAGCAGGGAGTCACAGTGGTGTCCGGCCCGGCGGTGAGTAGTTATCATCTCTCGCCAACCGATTACAAGAACGCGTCGACGGCTGGTTATTATTCCATCCCGCAGAATTCTGCTGGGTATCTTGGTCAACAACAACAACAACAACAGAGACCGCCGTCTTCGTATGAATCATCCAATTTTCAACGCAATAGTACTAACTCCTCAAATTTCTATACCCCCGTGAAGACGGAGGAAAATCCTGCTAGCAACGGTAACGGTTACATGCGACCGCAAGGCCTCTACAACCTTGTATCGGCGGCCGATGTCGTTGGTGGAAGTCCGGCTCAGGGAAGTCCACCGCAACTCATAGGTCAGAAACGAGGTTTTGTGAGCGAAGAGGAGAACGACGATTACAATGTCAACAACTCGAGTCAACCAAGCCCTCCTCTCGCGATGCACCCTCCAACCCCACTGAGCGGTATCGCCGTGAGCAACGCCGTGAATGCCGCCGCCGCCGGATCCTTTCCAAGCCCGATGAATGTGAGCCCAAACTCTTCTCCCGGTAACTCGGCCTTCTCCGGGTGGAATCATCATAGTAAGCGCATAAAGTACGAATTCCCAGAGGCCAACACACCATCGTCCTCCCAATCTTCACCCAGGAACAACATAACAGGTGGATACCAATTACCAGGTCTAGGATCCGGTCCAGCGACACCGGGCGCCAACCCATCCACACCACAGGCCTACACCAGCAGTAACCTGCAGATGGTGACCAACGCTCAGAGCCCACATCATTATTCCAGTACGACCGGAAACGGGGGTCCAGCCACCGGTACCACCACCCCAACCACCGAAGGTCTGGATCGTTACCTTGAGCAGGGAGCCGTTTTGCACACTCCATCGCCCGATAATGTCGGCAATACGCCCGAAGATTCGAGACGCTACGAACAATATCGACAGCGAGAGGACCCACCGGCTACGGAAGAGATCAACGGTGGGTGGGACTAGATCATTAGACTTGCATTTAAATGTGCATATTGCTCCAAAGGTGATTCGTATATCTCAAGAGTTTCACTTTTATACCTTTTCTTTTTTACTTTCTTATTTCATTAGACAAAAAATGTTAAATGTGTATAGGCGACCCCTTTCGTTGCATATATTTTTTCTTTACCCTTTTTTTTTTTTTATTTCGAAAAAAATCTATATAAACATTTGCTTTTCTCAATTTTCTTCTCTGTAGGGTTTCTTTCTTTTTTCCTTTTTTTTTTATTATTCTCTTTTTATTTCCATTTTCAATCACTCTTTCAATACAAAAACTTTTCTCTCTTTGATGGACTTTAGAATCTTTTGAGGGTTTATTAAATATTAGACAAGAGCGTGTGTGTGTGTGTGAGAGAGAACAACATGGGGTAAAAAAAATTTTCGCGTGAGATATGGGTTGTTGTTGGGTGGGAATTACAAAAAAAAAAAAAAACAAAAAAATTTTTTATTTTGTTCATGTGTTTGGGTCAATTCCAAATCCGATTTTTTCTTTTAATTGGTGTCTTTTTCTTTCTTTACTATTTTTTCTTTTTCCACGAGAAAACAAAAAATTCTAATAAATGTAAGATAGAGTAAACAAAAATTCAATTATCATCATTGTCCAAACGTGTTATGCATTACGATTTTGTTTGTTATGTACAGCCGTCAAACAAGGAATCGCGTTGTTTACCAAAAACTGGAATCCCATTCAACGATGATTTCCTTTTCGGTCAGTGAAATTATTTTGCAAAGAAGGTTGGTTTCTTCGCATGGTTCATCATTCACTATCATCATTGCATCGTGTTAACGAAATGGATGACCGAATGCATACTATATATGCACATGCTGTGTAATGACGAAAAAACCGGATGTGGCTGTGATCTAGACTCTCGATCACAGCACCGATCACGATCTAAATCTTGCGATTGAATGACGAAAGAATCTTTATTTGGCAAATCTTTAGTCGATCCAGTTGGTTATCGGACGCGACGCCTCGTCTTTTCACATCTCAATGGACCTTCTTCCGGGCACTCGGAGCGTTCGGAAAATGGACGTTACTTGCTTACTGTGCCAAGACATTATCAGCGTCAATTGGTTCTTTGAGCATTAGTCGGTCTCACGCATCTTGAAAGAAAGACATCTAATCAAGCATTGATTGAAACAGAAACTTGACTTACCAAAATTATCATGTGATATGTCTTTTTAAAAAAACCCTCATCG